TCCTATCCCCTCCCGCTCCCTCTCCCTCTCTCTCCTCACCCTTTCTCAGCCCCTCCCTCTCCTCCCCCTCTCTCCCGTCCCTCTCCCCCTCTCCCCCTCCTCTCACCCCCTCCCCTCTCTCCCCGCCGTTGAGTGAGTGTAAAGAAGCACTGAGTGCTCAGCTACAATCTCTGGACGTGTCGGAAACGAAAGATTTGTCAGTGCCTAAGACAGAGGAAGGCGCGGAGATTAGACTAGAGCTGGGCATAATCCAGATAAACTATCCGGATAACCGGATAATTCTCACTGAACATGATCCGAATCCAGACTCTTGACTCTCTTTCCTGACCCGTTTGCTGAAGTGGGTGCACCTATTTGTCGAAGTGGTTCTAACCCATTTGCCGAAGCGGTTCATAACGTATTAATTGCCGAACATGGTATCCGGATTTTGCTAAAGCGACTCATTGCCCAGCACTAGATTAGAGCATCGAGCGAGAGTTGAGAGCCTAGGCGAGCCTCATAAAACGAGCCCGTGATGGAAGCCAACAGGAAATGACGTTAGACAAATACAGGATTAAAAATAACTCGCCAAATCCGGTGTCTTTATCCTGACTGAACTGCCCGTGTGCGTGTTTTGGTACAATGTATTGTTTCATTATAGGTCAACTGTGTTGTGTGGGTGGTCGGCGGGTGCTCTGGTCGGGTTTGTTTCTTCTCCCAAATCAAACTCCTGTCGTCCTCATCTATTTCTTCAGTTGTGTTTTTTTTAGAATGTTACTTTCCAGTAACGCCTCTAATGGTCCACATTTATATAACTTTTATGTTGCAAGCGCCGTAAAACTGTCATGAAAACAAATCTTTCTTCACTGTTGAAATTGATACAATTTATGTGCAAGACAGGGATTCTTCTTCTACTAGATCACAAATCACATAGATATATTTTTCTCCTAGACCACAGATCCCATAGATATATCTTTCTCCTAGATCACAGATCACATTGAGATATCTTTCTCCTAGACCACAGATCACATAGAGATATCTTTCTACTAGATGTAGACCACAGATCACATAGATATATCTTTCTCCTAGATCACAGATCACATAGAGATATCTTTCTCCTAGATCACAGATCACATAGATATATCTTTCTCCTAGACCACAGATCACATAGATATATCTTTCTCCTAGATCACAGATCACATAGAGATATCTTTCTCCTAGATCACAGATCACATAGATATATCTTTCTCCTAGACCACAGATCACATAGATATATCTTTCTCCTAGATCACAGATCACATAGAGATATCCTTCTCCTAGATGTAGACCACAGATCACATAGAAATATCTTTCTCCTAGACCACAGATCACATAGATATATATCCTTCTCCTAGATCACAGATCACATAGATATATCCTTCTCCTAGATCACAACTGCATAAGGTCATGTGAGGGCCTAGGGGTTGATGTCAACAGAGAAGTCCATACAGGGAATCAGACTTACTCTGCTCACCTC